GACGCCTGGTGAAGACCATATAATGCTCGACGTAAACGATATACAGCATGGGGATGATTGACAATGGGTCGACCTGGAATTTGTTTGACATAGATCTCTTCGGCAAGTGGTGCGTTTAGAAATGCTTGTTTAACATCGAAAGAATATAATTCGAGATCCATACGCGCAGTCCACGCCATAACAATGCGATAGGATACCATTCTTGTTACCGGTGCATGGACGTTACCATAGTCCTCAGGCCGCTGAGTATAACCTTGTGCAACAAGCCGGGCCTTCTTCGTCCCATCTAGTTTCAGGTCGTATACCATTTTGAGACCAATAGGGAATTTACCCTTTGGACAAATTGGTAGTTCCTCAAATACGCCTAAATCGAATAACCCAGAGATTTCTTTCTCTTCTGCGGTGAGCCATTCATCCAGGTCGGGACGTAAGAGCATCTCCCGCCGGGTGGATGGTGCCTTCTTGAGATCGAAGATTCGTGGTTTAGATGTCGACGTAGAGTGTGGTTTTATGGGATTAAAGGGAGTTGGAATGTTGGCGAGAGCCGCAAAGAAGTAATCAGAGTCGTCGTCTATGCACTCAAAGTCGTCTTCAAGTATGCGACAGGCAAGTGAACAACCAATGATATCAGTATTGACTTGGGTATCGTGAGTAGGAGGAAGACCGTCATTTATTCGTCGTTCTTGGATGAGTTCATCGCGTCTCCTAATCCCTTCACGCCACTCTTTTCCACGCTCCGTTAATTTGATTGTATGGCGAGGTCGAGGACCCTTGGGTGTATTCAGAATTGGTTCCGTAGGTAGTACTAGTGGATCAGGTTGTGGAGAATTCGGGTGAAGTATCGTCGTGGTTGATTTCGATGAACGAGGTCCACGGAGTCGACCAAATTGTGATTCATTAAAGACTACCTGGTCAGAAAAATATTCCTTCCCATTAGTATCTCGAACTCGCCATCCGACGCGATTATCCTCATAGCCTACGAATATACCTTCCACCATTTTGTCACCGAATTTAAGTCGAATGTCTTCAGATACCTGAACCCAGCATTGACACCCCCATACTCGTAGATGTGAAAGGTTTGGTGGATGGCCGTGGACCATTTCATATGGTGTTTTGTTGTCAGGGAGAGTCTTGGTCGGTAGTCGGAAACGGATATAGATTGCGGTACGAACGGAGTCTTCCCAAAATTGTAAAGGTAAACCTGAATGAATGAGCATTGTCATTGCGTCGTTTTCAATGATGCGGATCCATCGTTCGGCCTTCCCGTTTTGTTGGTGAGAGTATGCTGCTGTTTTCTGGACTAAAATACCTTTGTCTTCGAAATAAGTCGCTGCCTCCGAACCGTGAAATTCCTTTGCACCATCAAGCCGGATGTTTTTGACTTTGTGAGGAGCCATAAGGTTCTCCCAAGTTGAAATTGTTGACTTGATTATACGTAAGGCTTGATTCTTTTTCGCGAAACATCCACTGGATAAAGCGCTGGTGTAATCATCAAGGATGATGTTGAAGTGTGAACTCTGGTGGTTTGAAAGTGTTCCGATAGGTCCACAAGTATCTGTGTGAAGTAATTCAAGTGGTTTCGAAGCACGGTTGCCATGATATGGGTATGGAAAACGGGGATGTTTGCCTTTAAGACAAGAATCACATATTCCCCTCATCTTTGTCCCATTCCATTCTTCGAGTCCCGTTGCAGAAGTCCCCGTGAGGAGTTCGTTGGTGATGTCGATTCCAGGGTGTCCAAAACGTTCATGGAATAGAGCGCCATTCGGGATACGTGGAATGAATACAGGCATTGCCAAATGTATGAAGTCGGGAGCTTCCTCCTTAGGTAGTACGAATCTTCCTCGCATGATACATAAACGTTGTTTCACATCCGCAATGGTATAACGATCCGGGTCGGGATGTATTTCGACTGTTTGGGGAGACATTTTGAATGTAAAACCATGTTCAAGCATCGCACCCACAGAAACTAGATTCACCGGGGCTTCAGGAGCATATAAGCAGTCGTGCATTTCCAAGATAAGATGATCATCTGTTCCTTCAATATGCATCTCGAAATAACAAGTTCCCGAAGCTTTGGTAGATAAGATACCCGAATTAGCTGTTTGGACAGCGAGAGCTCCGTCTTCATCGAACGTGAAGAAAAATTTCCTGTCGTTGACAATGTGGTTCGTGCAGGCTGAATCCAACAGTGTCTGAGTTCTCTGAATAATAGAGGAGAAAGCGATGGGTTCCTCGTTCTCTAGTTGATTTGAAGGGGAGTTAGGAAACGATGATAATAAGGCCGCAAACGGTTTCAGACGTCGCGCAGGATACGTGGAACGAACGGTTGTATTGGCAGTCGAGATAATACTAGGTACAGGAGCTATAGTATCCACAGATTCAATCTTGGAGGTCGTGTTCGGAATTGGAGAAGTAACGGTCGTAACATATGCAGATGGTTTATTGGTCGGTTTTAGCAAGTCCTTTGGTTTCTGTTGTTCTGATGGTTTGTCTGATGTACCGCCAGTTCCGTTACGTTGAAAACGACGATTGTACGTGCCACCTCCAGAATCAGCAAGATCAAGAAGTTCCCGGTTGCGTGTGTTTTCCAAACGAGTAGCAAATCGATTGAATAATTCCCTGTTTGGAATGACTCCCGGTTTGTCAAAGTCTTCTTCAAGTGTCTGTTTGAGGTAAATATAGCGAGGACCCGAAGGTAATTTCGATATGTACTTCGAGATCAATGTATCCCAAGGGATATCGTAGCCGTAGTTGCGTAAAGTGGTAAGAGTCGAACTCCACTTGAGATTGAACTTTTCGATGTCCATACCATGGATTTGAGAGTTAAGGAGCTCATCTTGGATGCGTAAACAGGCCTTCCTATCGGGAGCGGCTTGGTATGCTGCTTTGAGACAGAGGTATATCTGTCGGGCAGTGCGACGTTCTCCTCGATCATCAATCATAGGTGGAAGGTGATTACGTGCTTCATCCGATAGTCGCGCTGTCAAGATCGAAGATGTCCATCCATCATTCTTGTCCCACTTTAGACGAGTCTCGATTTCCTTTCGCGTTGGTTGAGATGAAACGGCAGGACGATGTAACGGTGTATTCCATTCCGTCAAGGGAGATCCAGGAGGAGGTTCATCGCATATGTGACCGAGGACAAAACCATCGCCAACCGCTTGCCATACAGCCTCGTTCCATTTAACCCAAGATTTACGGTCTTTCAGGGCATCGGCATCTTTAATCGTCGCTAAGAAAGTCGCGTGGATGGAAGAATATTCGATTTTGATTTTAGGAGTCACCGAACGTGGGGTTTCAGGAGGCGGCTGGAAGTTCTGATAGACGGGATACGGAGTGTAGTACATCGGATAATGATGGTTTATGGGCGCTCCAACTGAGGGCGGAGACTGTGGATGAGGCCAGTGTTGTGGCACGTTGTGATGGTCATGAAAAGATTGAAAACGTTCCTGCGGGAATTCCGACATTATCGCCGGAGCACTCTGGATTTCTGGAATTATGTGAGCTGAAGCCGAAAGATGGTCGAGATCCACCATACGATGAGGTCGTGGTTGATGCATGATACGGGATGGTGTTCGTTCGGCGATATTGTTATGGTCCATGCGTGAGCCAACTCGAGATGGAAGACGAACAGATGCCGGAGGGACCGAGACAGGAGATCTTACAAAGTTTATAGGTAAAAATTGAGGTGAGTGAAGTGGAGTATATGATTCAGGAATAAAAACAGGCGAAGATTGTACAGGAGCAGTAGGTAAAGGTCGATAATGGAACATGTTCTGGTTGGTAAAATTATGAGTCAAATTTTGAAAGGTAGGAACTATACGGTTATGCCAAGTTTCAGAAACGGATTGTGGAATGGTCGGTACGGAAGGAAAAGACGGAAGTGATGGTACAGTACTATGTTGAATTGGAGAAGTGATTGAGTGAGTAGAAGAATAATTATTGATCAATTGTCCCGGTCCCGCATCCGTCGGTGACGTGGCATGAGAGTGTGTGCGCATATATGCGGGTGAATGCTGAGGTTGACGGAATGGTATAGAAACCGGAGTTTGATATGGAATCGATTGAGTCCGCGGAGGGTTGCGATGAACTGGTTCCGTGAGATCCATACGGGATCCCAGATCGTCGGTAGTCATAGTCACGATTATTGATTCCGTATATTGATCTCGTTAAACGATGAGGGACGCGTCAGTTCAGAAGAAATTGGTGAGCTGTTGGCTAAAGATAGCCGCAAAGGTGGTTCGAAGTCGTTCAATGTATAAAAGACCTAGGGAAAACCCATAACCTCTTGGAGGTCAAATCTATACGAAGGAAAGACAGAGCCCTCAGTGTAGAACCGACAAGGAACTAAACAGCTGAGATTATACCTATACGAAGGAAAGACAGAGCCTATCTAGATAATCAGTATCTCCTAATATAGGTATAAGGAAAGAAAGAATGCTTACCCTCAGTGTAGAACCGACAAGGAACTAAACAGCTGAGGGAGAGCAGCGTGCGAAATACAAACTATGTAGTATGAGTCACGTGGAAACGAAATGAATCGGCCATAAATGGAAAGACCTTCCAACACTGACTAGATGAAAAGGAGAGTACGTAGCCTAGAGCCTTGGACCAGAGTAGGACTGGAGGAAGTCGAGCGGCAAAGCGGGGAAGTATTCCAATAAGGGAAACTTGGCTGTTACATGCGCAAACGGAAAATGCGCATAGAATTAACTACAGTAGCTCTACCGACCACAGAAACTCCGTGCACTACTCTACTGAGCTCTGCTGCTTGACCGACATAGGCGGCAATCCAATAGTTTTTACTAGTTTAGTATGCACCAGCTATCTGTGTTGTAACGTTGTGGGTTTCGGTAACGCGGTTAAGTAGAAGATCTCCATACAGATCTCTAATGCTTGTATTGAAAATATCAGTGATCGTTATCCCTTGGCGATCATGACGCTCGTTATAAATAGCAACCCTCTGTTGGTTTTCCTTAATGGATTCCTCCTCCAGAATGTCTATGCCAACACCCAGTACGGTGGAAAATAATCCGACTGGAACTTCTTCTGGAGTTCATTTAGCTCACGACGCAGAATTGTTAATCCGCACCTATATCTCTTCATCTCTCTCTCTCGCTCAACCACCCACAGGGCTACCTATTCCTCTACCATTATGCATTCCCCAGGTCAGCGTAAACCCCAACGATCAATCAGCTTTCGCTCGTGGATACAACGATACTTTGAAGGACGTAGGAATTCCGCAGGATGTGCTGTTGAATTTCATCGATGGATTGAACATGGCGATTATCGCTAGTCCACCTCTGCGTGTGGTTGGTATGGTAGGGACTATCATCGGTATGGTGTAAGTATCGTCTTTATCTTGTTACAGTATGGACATAAATAACGAGAAACCAGTCCTTACCATTGGGCAATGATAGCAGGGACCGTTATAAGCACCGCAGCCGGAGTCGCTACTCACGTCCTCTCTAAAACCCTCACTGATCGATATCTCCGTGCGGCCAACCTAACCCTCTTCAAACCCCGTGGCCTCTCAGTCCGCTTGTGTACCACTACTGCGATGTTAGCCCTCCTCACGTCGTCCGAATCAAAAACTCGTTCAAAGCTCAATAAATTCGGGCGTGGAGTTGGTTCTGTACTCCTGAAGCTCCCTATTCCCGTCATAAATCCTATCGCGAGTACTATTATTCACGCCATCGCCGACAAGCCTCCTACTATCGCTCCCTCAGGGAGGGAAGGTGATCCAATCAATAGTCCAGTGCTTAGGCGGAGAGTGGCTATGACAAATGGTTTGGCGTTGCCTCTGAAAATGGATGGCCTTCCCCCACCTGCGAAACCAGAAGGAGTGATGGATACGATGGCTTCATGGGGTGTTAAATATGATACTGCGAGAGAAAGATTATCAGAGAAGAACATAGAACGGAGGAGAAGAGCATTGGAGAGTATCAAGCAGGCGGGAATCGAGCCTCCTTCGCGGTCGATGGGATTATTGGGCACAGGCTCACCGATGTCTTCAAGACCTGGGCTTCGTCCTCCTTCTACCAGCACCGGAAGATCCGCTTCCTCTTCTGCCTCCTCATCATCAGGTTTCAAAAGCATGGCCTCATCGGCGTTCAACACAGTCAATGATCTCCGGCTGCAAATGGAGGTTCGTAACGAACGAATCGAGCAGCAGCGGAATACATCGCTGTTTAACTCTGGACGAGGGAACGGAGGCCTTGGTGGGCTTCTTGGGCCTAAGATGACAAGAATGGAGCAGAAAGTTGCTGATGCTGATTTGCTGGAGCATTGGGGTGCAGAAAAGTTTCTCTGGATCGTGGTCATGGCTTCGGACAAAGGTAAGGTCATAGTGGTCGATATCTTCTTCTGGCGAAGCTCTCTTCTAATTCATTATACTCGAATAGATGAAGAGATTGCAGACATTTCTATTGCCGAGGATCCCGCCAATGAAGAACATATCGACGATAAAACCTGGAGGGAGAGAATGGCATTCGAGCGAGATGAGATGGAATTGGAGGATTTCAAAGAATTTGAGCAGCGCCAACAACAGGAGAATAGTGCTGGTACTCAGGCGAGCGGAAGCAGGACTTGAAAGAGGATATTGTCCCGTATCAAAACCCTTTTTATCATCCATCTTGTAGGAGTTTTTGCAGAAGAGAGTCGGGTATATATGAGCGATTGCATTGCAATGTAGAAGAAGATAGTTTAAGTACTGATAATCTGGCCTCATAGAAGCCTCTCCAATTCCCCTCGCACCAATTAAACATTGAGCTTGAACTACCGTATTCGTTGCTCCTGGGCAGTCCCAAGCCCTTTCGAGGTGATTGAATGTTTGAGCTGGCTTGAGTCAAATTTCCATTGGAGCCTCATTTGACGGACCATACCCGTAGCTTACCTGAGCCATGAGGGATTGCAACAACGTGAAACAGCGTAGAACACTTGCGACGAGCAGAAGAACTTGACTTCCTAATTTGGTAGGGAACGAGGCAACGGCAAACTCCGAAAATGCCACGCGTGACGCCGAGGATTACCACTCTTGCCAAAACGGGCGAGATAATTGTTGACCGCTTCGTCCATGCCTTGTTTATTGTTCGTCGAAGACCCGAAGGCCACTCACACTATTGACAAAGTTTGGCCTTCTTTCTTGGACCTAAGACCTCAAGCTCCCTCAAGCTTTCTGCAACTTCTGAAGTCAAGATTTCCATGTAGTCAATTCTTGTCAAGGTAGAATGTTGACTGGATCAGGACTGGATATCTCTAGAATTCGCGAAGACTTTTGATGGAAATATTTACCGAAACCACTCGCTCGACCCTGAATTCGAAGGCTCTCACAGCGCTTAGATCTTCCTATTCCGAAATGATCAGACCACATCCGACGAACAATGCATCCACTTAACATACTATATAAACTGCTGTGCCACTTTCTGGTCTCGTTGAAATCTGGCTTGATTTTGTGCTATCCGATACTCAACATCATACTCAAACGATTTCATCCTCTGTTGTGACCTTGCTCTCATTGCTTTTGCTGTAACTGCGCATTACAGCTTGTTCTAGCTGTTTAACAACCCACACATAATCCCGTCCAATCAGTTCTTGCATTGAAAACATCGCATTACCACCCTCACGCCTTACCTCCAATCCTCATTCGATATGTTCCGTCTCCCTGACTACGGAGAAGGCAGCGATTTTCCTCCGGCGGTGTGTTGTTCATTCTGTTTCTATTTTATTGGTGAATGCTTATAATTGTACGATGTACACAGAGTTCGATGCCCCTCAGTCGATTGGATGCTATGGCCAAACACCAGATGCAGATGATGATGGCCCAAAGTTATATTGAGGGAAGAAAATACTGGGCTGAAAATCCTGACTCAGAACATGGTGCTCCTAATGAAGTCCAGCTCGTGAGTTATCTTTTTCCCCTTGTTATCATCCAAACAAATAAACGAAAACTCGATGAATTGTTAGGAAATCGAAAAGTTCCTCGAGTTTACCGGACTCCTCCCGAAGCGTGTTAGACAGTCCGAATTGGAACAGCCATCTTCAGAGTCTGACGAAGAGAGTTCTTCTGCCTTGACTATCAGTGCTGAATCGGAGGAAACACTTGCTATCCCGACCAAATCACGGTCTCGCTGGAGAAGATATCTTTCCTTTTCCTCAATCTCTCCATCGTCGGCAAAATTCCTCAAAAACTCGTCATCGCGCTCACGTTCCATGTCTTTACCGTTGATCGGAAAGATCCAGCGCCCCTCCTTTCCTATCCCAAAACGAATACGCCGTCTGTCCAAGAATATAACTGTACGTTCAAGATCGTTGCTTTACTGCTCTCAAGGCTCAACTCGAACTTATTTTTCAGCCTCCTGCCCTCAGACGAACAGCGTCTGAGCCGACCAAGCATTCCCCCAAGTCCAACCTCACTTCTGCGCCCAAATCTCGACGCATGACTCTGGACGAGTCGCAGATCACTTTGGCCAAGTCCCGAATCGGTGCTGATACTAAACCAACGGCGCAACCTATCTCTCGCCTTCCTCGCATTCCTCGGTTCCCTTGTGACTACTTACCCTTAAGTCCGCCTACACCGATCAGGCGCAGGCGACCGGCGAAACCTCTAGCCAAACCTAAATCAATAGAATCCCTTGCTCCTCCCCGTCGTCCGCTCTATAATTTCGAACGAGACCCTCCAATCGGCTCCCCAGACTGCGTTCGAAAACACCCTCTTCCCCCTCCGGAATGGTTTGATACGCCGTTTCCTGAAGAGCCGATCTCCGTTGAAGATGAAGAAATTGAAGATGACGAAGAAGGCATAATGTGGTACCACATCCTCCTTGTGCCGGTGACCCTCCTTGTTCTTGTTCCACTTGCCGCAATTCTCGCCATAATTATACTTCTTTTGACGATTTTAGAGCATCTTTTCTCCTGACTCTGTCGAATGATCTTGCGTCTTTCTCACATCAACCTTCTGCGACTGTATTTTCATTTCTGGCATTGACTCTATCCTTGTGCAAATATTAGACTGTACTTCCTCTCATTTCAAGCATTCATCGAACACTGGCATTCATCGTAGCTATATTCTCTATGTAGCATCACACTCTCTTGTACACGCATTATTCAACTTATGTCGCGATAGTCAACCTCCAATCCCACTTTCAAGATATCTCCATTAATATTACGGTTGTTGCCATTGTGATGTGTGACTACAACAAGAATGTGATTGGTTGAATTACATACATGGTACAAAGAATCACGGAAGAGCAAGTGAATCTCCCGAAAAATAGGAATAAACTAATAAACATAGTACCTGAGAGCTCGAAGAAAATGGAAAAAAAATGGCAAGCTCCCAGGGGTTGAAGTACACATAAAGAGTACATGGTACTACAACCAGACAGAATTTAAGGGCAAGCGGAATCTGTTAATGGAAAACGCCCGGCTCCAATAAGGGAAACGCTTCAAAATATACAACAAAGAAACGGGATACACTAAGCACCAATGATCAGAAAATTGAACAGCAAAGGAGACATGAGCTTACGGCGGATGATAAAACTTCTTGAACCTCTAGATTTACATGACAGATTAAACTTTATGCAGTTCCTCCAATACCAAGGTAGAACGAGATTTGGAAGATTCGGCTGGCGAAGGGGGAACACAATTGTTCATATCGCGATCTATTTTCTTTGCAAGTCCCCAGACTGCCTTTGCGCCATACCTAATTTTTGACTTTAGCTGAGTTCCGAGTGAGTCAAACACGATCCAAACTCACACTTGTGTACTCATCAGAAGCACGGTAAGAATAACCAGAAGAACAGACAACGCAACATCATCGGAGGACGAGTGGAATTGAACAAGGTGTTGCGCCCAAAACCCGAGAAGGTACGCGGCGAACCCGAGTTTAAAGATGCTGAAAGGACCCAGATCAGTGAAGACAAGGCTCAGATTTAACGGTCAACTCACAACGACTGGACAGCCGCGAAATACAAAATATCGCGGGTCATCTTTGGAGAGCAATCCAGTCGATCTACGGGGAGGGGGCGAATCAGTTGGGTTAACAGTTAACAGTGACGAGAATGCGTACACATTAAAAGGCCAACGAAAACGCTCTGCTCCGTCGTAGCCTGAAATAGCCAGATCTCCCCTACTCCCATTAACGCCGGGTGCCTCGTATAGGATAAGACGCTAAGCAACAGCACTATTGCAAAGATCGTACAAAAGTGATGGGACATAAGAGGCCATCTCATGGTGATACGGTACGTGAGCTCGAATATGTATAGCCCAGATATGATCAATGCCGCGAGTTTGAGCATACCAGATGCAGCGAATGTGTAGCGATTGTTGAGTACAGGTGAAGAAATGAGTTGAAAGAGAAGAGCCCCCCCGGTCAAGAGTATGTCCATAACGTATGTTACCGAGTTCCGCTGGTTTGTGATCGACATAGAGCGATAGGACAAGGAAAAGCGGCCGAAGGAGATTTCGATAACTTTTGCCATGACATACAACAGGAGCATGTAGAGCACGCATGACACGGAGTACTGAGACGGCGCGTAAATATAAATATTTTGGCCAGCAGCTCGTTCTCGACTGAAAAAAATGACTCACGAAGGCGACCGTGGTCATGTAAACGATCTCAGTCTCGATTGCAACTAATTCGTTTTGATTGCGGTCTGGAACATTCTTCAGGTCAAGAGCGTTATAGCTTGCGTTATAGGAGAGAAGGGTGCTATTGAAGGGCATATCTTCGGTGAGTTGGACGTAGTCCCTGGCAATGCACATATCGCCTCCGGTGGGGCCAATATGAGGACAGTGCACTTCAGGTCTATACTTTACCATATCTGTTTGAAGAAAGTAAATAGATTTCTCAAATGAGGGGAGTAAAAGAAAAGTTAAATACTTTTGTGAATGTACCGGCACCATCCATTATCCATTCCTCCTTCCCAAGGGTTTCCGAACGCAATTTGGGACATAAATTCCATACACGCATCGTTCGAGTCGTATACCTGATTGTCGCCAGTGCAATATTCAGTGGACATTCCGCATACGTCTATCGCCGTCTTCATCGTAATGAGCTCCGTAGTATTTGTCGTTGTTGAGTTGAGCTCCTTAGCGATCTGCGGGGCTAGTAACGGGACAACATAGGTAAAAAATTCACTCCAGCGGCGGAGAATAGCATCGTAGGAGATAATTTTCATGTCGTCGTCGAATGCTATGAACAAGTCAATTTGGAGCGGGAAGGAGGAGTTGATGGTCGGATAGATGAGGTTGTTTACCAGACTGACGGCGACGATGGGTGGCTCGACTACAAGCGATTGGGTGGTATATGACGAAGGGGAACCGATGAGTTGAGTTGAGTTCTCTGATGCACCCTCGACGAATAGGCCGAACAAATATTCCGTATTGAGCTCTTGACCGACGAAGGTTGTCGTGACATCAATGCGTCCAACGACATTCTCCGCAAGAGGAGACGAAATTGAGCCATTGATCACGGAGGAGGGGTTAGTGAACCTAAGGAATAGTGGGCAATCAATCAATCTATAGCAATCTTTGATTCGAGAGAGATGTATGTGATACGTACGCAACAGCGAATGTTTGGATCGCTTCCAAATACTCGTAGGGCTGCCTAAATGCTGATGCAGGGGCGAGCAGCTGAAAAACCGCTATGAAAGCCGTCAAAGCACCAAGGACCATATTGAAAGCACAGTCGGAGGATGAACAGAAATGGTATGAGGATGAGGAGCCCGTATACGATATCAGCTGTTAGAAACTGATACGGTAATCACCTTCGTCACTGAAAAGGGTAATAAGCACGAAGTCAGGGAGAAGAATTTGAGTACGCTCGCCTCAGAGATATGTACCAGCAGAATATCTGAGGCAACGCGAACGAGCTGGAAGGATATATAAATACGTCCTGTGGAGATAGCACATGCAATAGACAGGGTACGAATCATGATTAAGAATGATGGAATAGATAGATACGGAGGACGGACGGTTCAAGCTAAAAGGAATAACTGATCGCGACTGGGATCAGTACGATTTTGCCTTGCCCGACGCGTTCCTGTGCATTTACGCGTTCGCCGATATTCTCCGTCGCACAATTTCTTAATATGTGATCTCTGTCAATATCTTCTCCACATATCCCTCGCTGCAAGTAATTTAGATCGGCCTGATAGCTCCTGATAGGCTCTAATGGTGCAGGATACAACGACCGGAAAACTTGAGGAAGCTCAGGCTTCGTCATATCATGATGCCAATCACAATCTTTACTCTAACACTTCCAACAAGATCAAGTCGAGGGGCAACATGCAACAGGGGGCAACAGCGGTTTCGCAGATTGATCCATACAAGCCGAATGAGTTCGAGAAGTATCAGCCTGAGCCACAGATTGATCCAATGGATACATTTGGATACATAAGGTGCCACTGTAAGAATTCTGCTGAGGCAGATGTATCAGTTGATGAATTGTTGAATATCAGTACTTGGCCCACAGCGCATGGACACTACGTGTCCTGAAGCTGCTCACCTTTGCAGGACTTTATTTTTTGCTCAGTCAATTTACTCGTCACGCCGGGTTTAATTAATTCCGGCTTCGATAAACCTTGCTTTGACCTGCCATAATAAGTAGTTCCTTCCGCAGACTATGTACAGTATATGAATAAAACCTTCGGTACTCTCCTCTTCTACTCTCTATTTTGTAAAAATCCAGACTGTATATGTCAACCTTTATGCAAGTCAACTACCAGATTGGAATGTGATAAAATGTTGATTCGGATGTTGGTGGCATGGCCGATGGATAGAGTATTTTCGTATCGACCGATCCACTTTCGTTGCAAGTCTCCAAACTGTCCAAGCGCCGTATCTATAATATGACAATCAGATATACGAGTGTAATTGGCCTGATCCGATGGAGTAGGTCGAATTTGGTAACGCTCACGCATCAAAAGCACGGCTAAGGCGACATCATCGGGGGAAGAGTGAAATTGAACGAGGTGTCGGGCCCAGAAAGCGAGAAGGTATGCAGCAAAAGTCGGTTTGAGGATACTACATAGAATGAGAGACAAGGGTGTGAGCAGTTAGTATTCATGGTACTTGGGCTTGGCTGCTGATTTAACATTGACAAATGATTGAATGGTGGCGAATCAAATTGAACGAGCGCAAAAGCTCACCCGGGAGTACCACATAGTTGAACTCTTCCAGACCTCGACGCAAAGCTATACGTTCGATATCATTCCGTTAGGAGCCTCCTCAGCGTCGGCGTCACCGGTCTGGCTAGACTCATTACAAATCCATAATCCTTCGAGCACACTCAACAGACAAGGTATCCAGAAAATGAGCGATCGCAGTTTGAAGAGTTTCATCGGGGGGATGATCATGCCACGACTCAAAAATCCACTTTGAATTTGTCTTCCAAGGGTTCTTATTATGACCAGATACAAATGCGTAACCTCAGCCTGGATAGTTTTATACTGATCATCTGGTACTTGAAGACAACCCCAGACCTTGTACCCAGTCGCGTAACAATCCAGCGCCTCGTCCTTCTTTTTTGGTCGAAGTGGGACGTGAAGGTAGACGTTCTACAAGCTCATGCCCAACCCGAGCTGAGAATGGAGATATATAGAACGAAACAAGTGCCCTGGACAAGATTAAAACTACAATTTAGGAAAATTGAACGATGAAACTCACCAGAGAGTTCCTTGTATCAAAGGGCTTATTATCTGGTCTCGAACCGTGATCCATAACACGCCCATCCATTCTATCTCTATCAGCTCCTCTCTCTCCAATAGTTGCGGGGATTCTGTTTTCATTGACGTAATCTGGTCGATTCCAGCAAAATTCGGTATTTTTGTTTTCGCATTGGCAGGACGGTGGTGAAAACGAATGTAGGGTTTAATGCTTTGAAGATATGTCACTTCGAAACGAAGATCTGGAAGTGGCGGAAAATGTGGGCGACTGTGCGCTGCAGTACTTCGGCGATCTGAATATTCATGCAGATGTTCATGACGGGGAAACGGTACTTCGGACGACATAGTCGTGGGAAATCGGGAACGAGTCGGCGATCAAGTATTGGGTCAAAACCAGCCGCAATCTATGTAGGATATGCAGATAGATATGTACAGATACAGCGACGTATTTAGACTATGCTACAAGGTCAATATTCAAAGCAATATTCAAAGCAATAGGCTGAATTTTACAGGCATTAGAATCTTCAAAAATTTTCACCCAGGAGACGGTCCTCTTCCAATGCACGTTCTGCAGCCCGGATAGTGTTGTCCCATTCCAACTTCCATTGCGGATCTTCCTCTGCCATCGCCTTACAATGTGCACAGCTGATATAGTATGCTGATTGAGATTCTCGACAATTCAGCAGTAGACTGTATGCTGAAATGAGACGAAGAGAAATGAAGAAAGCAGTGCAAAGACTCACAGTTCTGGCAAAGTATCTCCAATGGGATCAAATATCTCGGGAAGACAATCCTCACAGTAGGCTCTAGGACACGTCCGACACCTATATATCTATCGTCAATCCCTCAGCGAAGCAAGGAGTAGCAAGCACAGACCGGAATAGCATCCCACCAGCATCCGACGTTCCCCTGGAACAGTCCCAACATTCATGTTGGTGGCACGCATGCCAAGATTTCTTCAAGTCACGAAATTTCAAGCCTCGACAAGCAGCATGAAACACTGAAAAGGATATGTACCTCTGGATTAGAACAGATCGATGATAGTACACACCTCGAGGACAAAAGCTGCAACAGATGAGTTGGCCACCATCCTGACATACATTACAGTAGTCCTCTGAGCCCATTGGTTCCTTTTTCACCTTTGCAGGTTTTGACGTGCTCTGACTATTCGAAACAACCTAGTTCCATTTAATGATTTGTCAGTATCAGTAGAAGGACTGATGCAGGAGCTCAGTCACTATACCTCTTGGTCAACAGGGGGTGGAATGACTACAAATGTCATTCCATTCAGGACCACCGTCTCGCGACTCTTCGAAGCTCTCTTCTGCAGATTTGTCCACTCGTCCGCGATCTGTTTATTACTGTTCGAAGTCCCTCGCTGTAGCATCTGGCCCTCGAACAAATGACATCTAACCTGCGCCGCGCCACTTAAAAGCCGCTGTTCCTCATCTTCTGCGTCTTTCAGAAGCTGCTGGGCATGAACATCGGGATTGCCTTCTGTCTGAAGGGTTTGCTCGAGTTTTGCATCTCTTGCATCCTCACGCGCCTTAGACAAGCTCAGGATCTCAGCAATGGGTGCTTGAATGAACTTGCTCAATTCCATTTCGGCACCTGGTAGCAAGGCACTACTACCCTTCCGTAGAATATCCAAGAGAGCACCAGAACTCATGTCTGATGTCTCAGAGGAACTTGAGGTGGGATTATCGGACCCCATGATTTTCACGGAAAGGAAGAGTTTACGTCGGATACGGTCCTATAACAGACATGTTGGAAAGGACTGCACTCCGAAAGCTTTGAACTTACCAGCATATGGTCTTCAACACTCCCCCCGCAAATCAGTCGGTAGACCTACACGACTCATAAGCACAATGTACATGCTGAACACGACTCCTAATGTTCAAACCTTCACTACTTTCTTCTGTCCGATTCTATGTGCGCGGGCTATTGCTTGAAGATCGTTTTGCGGGTTCCAGTCAGAATCAACCATGATGACCGTTGAGGCTTTGGTCAAATTGATGCCTGGAAGAGATGAACATCAGATACGGTCAGATACGGAAATCCCTGGACAAAGGCGATCTCCATACCTAGACCACCGGCTTTCGTTGAGATAAGGTAGACCTGAAACTCTGAGAAGCCCAGTCAAATGAACCTGCATTTCCAATATAATCGACGAACAGAGCATACCAGATTTGTCGTGTTGGAACTAAAATAAAAGAGAGAGATTGGTCCTGTCACGTACAACCCACTAACAACACCTGACGTACCAACTTTATATCCAGAGCTCGTCGGGGACGCAGCGTGGATCCATCTAAACGAGCATACTTTATGTCCCTTAGATGCATCATATCTTCGAGCACATCCAGCATCCTGTGGAACAGTTTATCGAGTTTACCAGTACAGAAGAACATTAATCAATTACCCTGTCCATTGCTGGAAACCAATACACAGTCAGCTCGAATGCTAAAAGATATATTCAAGGAAGTACCGAAAATAAGAGGACTTTCTCTCCTTTGGGTAGAATATCTGCCAGGAGCTTATCGATAACAATGAGTTTCGAAGATGAGGCGACGATGTGTTCGCCGATGTAATACGGTTCTGGCTCTACTTTTGGTAAAAGATAAGGACTACGAATAACAGGTAAGTACATAGGACAACGGTGAGACAGTGGATTTGACGTACTGATCACAGACTCTGCGCAATTGCATGAGCAGATTCATCAACTTCGTCCATTCTGCGAAGTGAATGATTTAGATCCGTCGATATAGCCAAAGTAGCTTACTCACGTTTGGTTTCCTTTCCCGCTCTATTCGAACTATCTTCTAAAAGAGAAAGAACTTCATTGCGACCATCTTGATAGCCATTATCTTGTAGCTCCATGGTGGCATCGAATATCTCTCTGAAATTCACGCTGTCAAGGCGAGTGATCATTCGATACATCCAGAACCGCTGAATTTCAGTGAGAGGGATGAAGATAGTTTGTTCTTCCCGAGCTGGAACATCGATATCCACATTGGCCTTTGTCCTTCGAATCATGACAGTAGATAGCAATTTTTGGGCGGCATTGACGAAAGGTAGAGAGTATGTGCCCTTTGTGAGGTCAAACGAGGTTTCGAAGAGTTGTTGAGTGTTAGGTGTAAAAACGGACGGGTATAGGTAATGAAGAAGACTCCATAATTCAACCATGTTGTTCTGAATGGGGGTTCCGGTCAAAACTGAGGAGTCACGTAAAATTTTTGAAAAAGAAGATATGTGAATGACTGACTGAGTCGATACATAGCATTTAGCCCTTGCAACTTCTGGGAGACAATAGTTTCAGAGTTCTTGATTTTGTGACCTTCATCCAAGACACAATACGTCCAGCGACGAGACTTAAACCAGCTATCCTCAGTGACATATACCTCATACGTTGTGACCAAGATGTCAAAATTGCCTTCGCGTAGAGTGTTACGCAGCCGCAGACGTTCGTTGGCCGATCCATGGAAACGTACAACAGTCATAGAAGGAAGCCAACGAGCCGATTCCTATTTACATAAGTTAACGAAGTGCATGCTTAGGAGATCAAGTCCTTACGGCTTCCCAAGACGACAAAACGGACAGAGGGCATACGATGAGATGAGGATCAGTCCGACCTGTAGATTGATCAATATTTCACAGTTAGCTTAACGGAAAAACTGTACCGAGGTTGCGTTCAGCAATATAAGCAAACAGAGATAACGTCTTGGAAACTTTGAGAGCTATGATGACTAGGTAGCAGAAGACTTCATTACCTGCAAAGTTTTCCCGAGGCCCATCCTGCAAATGTATATGTTAGGCCCAGCCAACAGAATGGAACGTGTGAATGACTCGCTCATCACCAAGGATGCAATTCATGCCTAGTGAAACAGGTCATCAGCGGGGATGATGACTGAGGATGTTATTTCTTACCATTCTCATACATATACACGAGGAAAGATAGGCCCACAATCTACGGAAGTTCGATCAACGAAGTTGTAAAAGCAAAAGCAAATCACGAACCTGGTAGTCCTTCATGGAGCCCATAGAGCTGTTGATACTCTTTGGCTGTTCGACTTCGTGAAGGGGAATATACGGCAGCTTCCCAGGTACAGCGACGTGTAATTTGGCAAAAAAACTGCTGGATGGCGGTAGCAAAGGTTCGAATAAGTTGCGGTGTCGCAAAAACCACTGATTCCTACGTGAATCTCGCTCTGATTTCTTGGTGTTATTAACAGCCGTATTCTGAAATGAATATTACAGGTCAGAACGATGAAAAATATACGCGAAAGTCAACTAACGGCTTTTTTATCCTCCAATTTTGCCTTCTTGTGGGTTGCACTACTTAACTCCGTTGCCGAGGTAGTCCTTTTACGTGGCTTCTGCTGCGTGTTTCGAAGAATTGTTGAAGAGGAGTCTCTAAGGCGCAAGGATCGTCGGGTAGCACTTGCAGACTGGGGTGGAAAGTGGACCTGATTAACTGGTATCACCGGAGCACTTATGGATTGAGAAAATTGAGTTAGAGCGGTAATTGGAGGAGATGGAGTAGAGATGATGTCAAGCTCGTCGTCTTCGATAGTTGCAACAATCGTGTTCTCCGTCATTGTTAATGCTAGAGGCAGGTTAGAGGTAAACAAGAGAAACAATACACTGTGCAGAGGTACTGTAGAAAAGCAATAACTCTAGGGCAGGTCGTAACGTGTGACCCACAATTCGACCTAATTCGACACAACCAGGCTCTCAACCATCTTCCGCATCATGGCTCTGAATGGTACAAGGATTCCTCCACTGAGTGCCAGAGTTGGGCAAGCCTGCTACTCATGTTTTGCCGAGCCATCGGTAGAGATAAACCTATCTCGTTGCTCCAAGTGTCGCAGCGTCTCTTATTGTAGTCCAGGTATGTGTAATTCAACCGCATGCCATAAAATAAATTTTAGCTCGTTTTCTGTATAGAATGCCAACAGGCTCGTATTCCATATCGCCTTTGCTCAATTCGAGAATCAATATACCTTTTTAGAGAGATTGGATCAGCCACAAAGCGTTTTGCAAAACGCTTTATGCAATCGAGCACGATTCTGCCTCTAAAGCCGTACTTGTTACCAGTCTGTCCGTGACCCCCTCTTTAGACTGCTTTCAAAAAGCAATTCATCTCATCAACCTTGCCGAGCGCTCGCTGAATAGGCCACTGAATGCAATTGAGAGGAATCTTATTGCCTACGAACCGAAATGCCTATCATGGTATGGATCGTATCCTTTTTTTTTCTTTTCGATTTTGGCTTTTGGACTTATTAGCCTGTCCAGCTCTCGCTCGAACCGGATTCTAAGAATGGAGAAATCGGATCCGCAAGCAAGTCTACAGTCATGCCCGCAGTGTCGTCTTGCCTTCTACTGCTCGGATGAACATTGGGGTCCCGTCGCTTTTAACCACATGTCTGCGCCATGCGAAGATGGCTATGGAGGGCTTAGTCAATGCGAACTGAACCAGAACTTGAAAGTCGATGCTAGGTTTGCACGCATAATGGGTTCTGCCTCTGGCCCGGTCAGGATCTTTCAATGGGCTCCGGAGCGACTCAGAACTCGCTGGGACCCGCTTCCAGAAGAGGGTGATTGGGATAAAGAGTATGGCGATGAACTGAGAAGCATGGCCGGTGGCGGAGGACCCCCATTAGGTCCATTCCTTCGTGGCTCTTCCGAGGGTCTTTCTTTCCCATTAACAATCTTATATGCTCTACAAAATCTGAACAATGATGATGTCTGGACCCAGCGGAAGTCTTTGACTATTCATGTAAGTGTTGGACACTGTTGATACACTAAGGCTCGCATTGTTTCCGCAGATCCTAGGCGCTTCTCTGGACAAGGAATTCTCATATAGCTCAGTGTTTGAGGAGATCCTACATCGCCTGCCGAAAGTACAATCTCTAACTGTAAGTTCAGGTATGTTCAGTAGGTATATGAATAACTTTGAATCTAGTTACTACTATGTGGTCCTGATCTGAAGGGTATGACTGGTTCTACTGGAAAAGCCATTGACATGGACACTTGCCCGTGAGTGGTTGTTCAATTACTTTCATGTGGAATCATTATTGAGGGTTGGCCAGAAACTGCGTGCTCAAAGGTCATAAACGAATTCACCATTTTGAAGCCAAGTAAGCTCCATTTCATTTTCCTATCGCCGTGTTGTTGTTAATAACAGATCAGAACGTATCATGAATACACCCGAGGTCTCGGGGACAAATTTGTTAAACCTGACCTTGCGATCGCATTTAACTCTGGCCTGTCTCAAGAGGCCGTAGCATCTTGGACGGAGACCATACAATTCCTTATTGCTGAAAGGATCCCGACTGCCTTCACAGTGAGAATGTCGAGCTTGTTTTGCTTGAAATCAACTGACACAGTGTGCTACAGTCTTATAATCGTGATGAAGCAGAAGCCGAAGCGAACATCCTTCGTAATTCAGGAGCTAATCTAGTCCTTGGTCCGAAGAGGAACCCTTGGGGAAGTCAAATGCTGATACCTGAACCCAATGAGGTCACTGGTTTCTTTGCTTCAAACAGCTGGGTTTGTGGTGGATTCCAATGAGCGTTTTGAAAGGCCAACATAACAACTACATTACTTACTCGAGACCAACTTGGTGACTATCTAGATAGACATTTTCCAGTCCTACATGAGAGGTCGTATGAATCGAAACTTACATATATATGTATGTACATGACAAAGGTGTAACATAACAAGAGAGCACAACATTTTTGGAGCCCAGTTCAAGAACCCAGATAGAGGTTTCTTGCTTAAGCTGACAATGCCATATTGAAGGTGACTGCCTTAGGCCTAGACATTTCCTAACGAAACACGCTAGCAAACAAACATTACAAAACCGTTCAATTGCAAAAAAGTATTCAAATTATCAAAGTAACCTCAATTATTCAATGCCATACAATAATCGATGTTCACCTCTCCAGGTGCTGGATTCTGCAAGAAGTATCAGCGTTTGGCCAATGAGCGATCTGGAATACTTACGAGAGCCCAATTTGGGAATGGATGTGCAGTTCCGCTACCGCCATTCACTGCGAACGTACTGACGAAGATCATGATCTAAGTGCTATGTGAGGACCAAGAAACATTCATCAGAATCTACATGAATGTTCACCTCACTACCTCCGTCTAATGCAGCAGAAAGTAGGAAATTATATTTGCGGAACCAGGTGGCATGATACCTAGAGGCAAGTTAGGTGGAGAAACCACAACACACGGGTAGAAATATAAATTGATCACTTACTTCCGCAGGTAATATTGCGAAAACAATGCTACAAGTAACGTCGTGAAGACGCTGGAATTAATACCAACACTCAAGAGACCAAGCTCAGCTGGGACGTCATTTAGAACGTATTCGCTGGAAGTATGTACGTCGAATACTAACCAACCAATATAGGGGTGAAGACATAATTGAATCCAAATTTAGGCCATTTCTTGTGTAGAAGCCAGAATGGAATAGGGCATAAGAGGCCGACGAGCAGCATGTACGGAACGAACTAAGAAGAGTCGTCAGTGTGAGACTCTGATTCTGTATGGAATTCTTTACCGCATATTGAGTTCCTGGAGCGTATAAGGGCTTTCCAAGAGCACCCCATGCGATAGCTGCGCTGTTATAAGATTGTACCTATGGATGTGACTTCAAATTCGCAAGAACCACACAGAGAGAATATTGTCAAACCTGTTGGCCAGACCATACATTGGAGCCTTGGACATCTAGTAAGATCGTTCGCTGCGCATTGAGGACGACCTGGAAGATTGACTAAATTTGTGCGATCCTTCTAGAAATACTTCGAGTTACCTTCATAATGACGTAGTTCAAGATACCGCCCTAAAGATGAAATCCTCGAATTAAGTCGCGGAGATCGGTTGAGTCTTTACCATACCACGATAGTCCCGCACACTTGAACGGTAAAAGTCACTCGTGGAGGGATTTTAGTGTATTGACCCTACGAAGTTCGAGATCAGTATGATGGCGTAATCCCAGCATGCAACGAGCACACCGTTTTCAAGTCCTGGAGCAGTAGAAGTGCTTGGGTAACAGGATTTTCACCGTACAATGTGAAGTACATGTTTGCGACAGGTCTTCCGGGAACAAGGGCACCGCCAAGCATCTAGAAAAGAGCCACATAAAATAGAATCAAACACAACTACGAAAATGTATACAGACCTGCATGAGGTTTTGAACGAGAGGTGCATATCCGACAGTCGCATTAAGCTGCATACAAGTTCAACAATCATCACCGATGTCAACAACCACGAAGAAATACGCACTGTTCCAATGATAGGAACAAAGAACGCCGCGAATATAAGCGCAATAATTAAAGCCCAAGCTGGAAGTCCTGATTTTGCTGCATAGGCTAAGCCAATAGCCAACGCAGAGCAAATAAAGAAAATAACTGCATAGTACCAATTGCTGACTTCTTTGTAGACCTGCGAACAGAGTTTAGGTTATTATGCGATAGTCACCATATTAAAGAAAGCTCACCCTCATCTTCTGGTAATGAGGATCATCACATTCTTTGGTCTACGAAAGCTTCGGTTCGGTGTGTGCATGGGAAGAGGTAAATCGTTCACTCACTCGGTAGTTCTTGATGATTTCTGAGAACGTTGGCCAGTACCAAACGAAGAAATGAGTGACAGATGCTAATAATCGAATTTCGTCAACGCCAAATCAATAGGGGAACAATGAATGAATTACCCCCGATGTAAATAGTCCGGCTTACTTGGAAGAGCAACTGCGAGGCGGCATAGAAAGGGAGTCCCTGATTGCAAGAAGAATGTTTTTAATGCATTGTATGATGTGTACGTGTGTATATATATACCTGTTCCTCAAGCAGTGTGTTGTTCAAAGTAAGGTCGGGGTTCAGGATTGAAAGCTGGGCATATTCAGTCCCTACTCAAGAATTCAGTGAAAATGATGCAGATTCAATATTCAATGATTGCACGAACCATTCTTGTAATACAGGAGCTGAGACAGAAAGGGGAAGTTTTGCGTGTCCCAAGTGTTCATCTACAACGGCTCGCATGAACCAAATCCAGTGTGGGGGTCTAGGACATACCGCATAGCAAGCACAGAAGGCGATCCTGAAATGGCCTTCGTTAGTAAGTAATTTAAGGTCATACAGGTATGCAATCGTACATGCAAACGGCGCATCCGGCGTAAAGCGAAAGCATCGTTGACAAGGGGGTAAACATTGCGCCAATAGTGCCACCTCCAGAGCCAACATAAACCCAGTCAAAGCATAATGCCAATGCGCCAAGGCCTTCATTGTTATTCGCGCCACCTTGAAGGGGCTTGTCAATTTTTTATGTTTATCCGACGTCCCCGAGTGTATACTGACCGAATATCCGAGTAACCCAAGGGCTCTTGCGGTCGGCGAGACAGAAGATACTGATCCCTGTGAGCGTCCTGAGATAGGATTTAGGCACGAGACTTTCCAGAGAGAATGAATTCATCTTACGGGGCGATGTATTCCTACGCACGCAATATCAATTGAGCGATGTCGCGACTTGGAAAAAAAACTGCATCAACAATACCGGAAACCATTCCCATATGAAGATCCCTATGAATATAAACCAAAAAAATTTCATTCGTTTCTTCTGCATAATGGCCTCTTGACTGCGATGAAGAGTGTCATAGCTGGATCGCGAAGTGAAAAATTGTCAGTGGAGTAATTATTCGGAGGTAGGAGAACGCTGACAGCTGTACTTGGGGTATGATTTGAGGATATATGGCAAATGTCGGGTACACAAGGAAGTCACGCATGATACCCGCAAGACCGTAACCAACCAGCTGAGAGGAGATCAATCTGTCGTACTCTTTGAGGACGACGGTGGAGATAGGATAAGGCATAATACACTGACGTGAAGATACCAACTCCAGGATTTACCTCTATGTTGTAATATAGGTCTTGAGAAGCGAGGATACTGATGGCTAGGGCGGATGCCGACGCAGTTGAAGACATGATGGTGATTGCGACATGTTCCTTGAGGTCTAAGAGTAGAAAGTCGATACCTTGCTCTTGGATTGGCGGAGAAATGCTTACTGAATGGGCCGTGATTGAGGAATCTGGACAGCATAAGAGAATAAAGATTGAAGCTCGACGGAAAGACGAGCTACTAACCTCCAAAACCGATTATCTCGCGTTCGAAAGCGCGAAGTAGGGCTGGGACCAGGAATGATCACCTCCATAGCCTAGGTACAGATCAGTTTACTAGGAAATTCGAGTTGAACGATGGTGCACGTACTTTACCCATGATAAAAGATATGATCTGCATCTTTGTGAGTACACCGAGCAACTCTCGATTATAGTCATTCCCTACCTGGAGAAAGAGCGAACTAACAGTAATCTACCACGACGTCATGATTCGTCCAAACGTAAAAAAGCTTCAAGAATGTTCCTACCGTTTGGGGACGGAAGTACTAGACATTTTTTTTCTTTCAGTAAGCTTCATATGGAGCTAAGTACAGTGCATTGTTACGTACGAAGATTTGTCCAAGGACAGCGCCAAAGCAAGATAGACCGAGTCCGAGAAACCACAACCTAAAAGTAAATATCCGGACCTTGGGGTCGTCTTCGAGAGATACAAGTCGGACAGCATAGTCGGCGCTCGTCTCTGTGCGAAGAATGAAGTATTATAAGAATGGAGATTCCGTGGTCACTTACGAATGGGCCTCTCTTTACCATCTTCACCCAAGTCGATGAGGCGAGGGCTATCGAAGACATCGCCGATATCATCCGTATCTATAAGAACACCCCCTACCGCTTCAACCTGTTCATGTCGCTCATGCTTCTCGTCGCTAAACGAGTTCTTATCATCGATAGAAGGCTCTTTCGAATCGTCGATGAGGGTCGGTACTACTCCAATCGCTGCCATAGCAAGCAAAACGGCAAACGGATGAGGAAGACGGGGGTAGAGGGAAGAAAATCTTCAAGGGAATCTAGAAGCATGTGTCGGGTTATATAGCGCTCCGCCGAGATCAGGATACAAATGGAAGTCCATGGGAGCGTAAACCGAAAGAGGCAGCGGTAATCTTACCTAGAAGCCTGAAGGTGCCTGGATTGTAGCAGCACACATGTTCACACATGATGCAGTATTAATAGTGCGATAAGGGAAGCCATGTACCAAGAAAACCAGAAGCTTCTTGCAGTTGGTCGGGGAGTGGATACAGGAATGAATCGAACAGCAGTAGTAGTGACAGGATACAGTTAAGTTTATTTCTGGAGTGCTTACAGGTTGGAGGTACATATGCATTGTCATATGAAGACTATAGAATGGACTTCGTTGTGGACTGCAGGTGCTTCCAAGAAATTACAGTGATACCATCCAAAGAGCCGGAAATTGGCCGGAAGTCTTAATATCGACGCGGAACCAGGCTAGATTAGAGTAAATACTGCAATCGAGTGGTCATTGAATCAAGAACTAGAAAGTCATACGCTTTGTTGTCGGCATCTAGTCCTGTCATAATAAACAAAAAATTGGACAAGAATGGCGATATATTTCGTAAAAAATGGGCGAGAGCATGTAAAAGTTAATTGTACATGCCAGGGACATGCCATGGATGTCGGAAAGATCGTGACAGATGGGGGGGTTGAAACGTTGAAGGTTCGGATTGGAACAAGATTTCCGGGATTATTGAGAACAATTCCTGCTGAATAGTATGTTGAATGGACATTGATTACAAAAGATAGTAGGGTATGCTCCTATGAGGTTCGATAGCCCAGCCAACCGTCTGGTAGTTCATGAGAACACGCGTTCGTGTTGGAAGCTGTGAGAGAACGAAAACCATCACGTGGCCGATTGCGTCCAATATCCTCATACATAATTAGAGAGTATTTTGGTGGCATCACCTGAGTTCACCGAGCATGAGAAAGTCATGAATCTGACTCGAGTCAAGTAATTTACATGAGGAGTTTGACTACTAAGTACGCAGCGATTGCGGTGGACCAAGGCTACCAAGGCTTACCCCACGTCCTATAGCTGCATGGTCATTTCCAACCATTTTTTCTTGCTGTTCTTTTGACCTCCGAGTCCTTTCATTCGCCTTTTCCTCCTCTTCACGCTTATATTTCCGTTCTTGTTCAATCCATGCAGCCACCCCCACAGCAGCTTCCTCCGCTTGTTTCTTGTATCCCAAAAGATACCCCTGGAGCTCAGCGACGGAGAATTCATGTGAAGGAACTTGAGATGCAAAAGATTTTGAGAGGTTCGTGATTGACTGCACATCATGATTTCCCTCGATTTTTCCGGTTAATGCACCTGTTTCAATCAATTCGGAAATACAGTCCGGTGAAAAGAAGCTCGTGAAAAGAGCCGCTGCTTGCTCTTTAGTCGCTAAATGGTATGGTATCTTCCGGTCGATACGCCCAGGACGAAGTAATGCGGGGTCTAAGTGGTCTATGTGATTGGTCTACAAGTCTCTCGGTCGGTGACGGGTGGGATGCGATGAAAGTGAAATGACTCACTGTGGTAAAGAATAGTCTGCCTTGCTCACTCCCAACTCCATCTATCACGTTGAGCAAGGTTGAGAGTGTCACGGTGACACTCCTCCAAATCCGCCGTCTCGCAACATTTATAATGTTTGATTGATCCTGGTCGGTATCCTCCATTGAGGGCAATGCACAATCAATGTCTTCAATCAGGAATATCGAATTTTTGGGGATTGAAGACGTGGCACGTTGTAAGAAGGAGTCGTCGACGCTGTAAAATGAAGAATCATCGGACTGCCAACAACGGATGCCTTATCTATACTCACAAATTTGATGCTAATGAAAGCGAATATATCTCCATACCCAGTTCTCCTGCCTAACAAAGGGTTTTATGAGTAGGTATTCATGCGGGCACTGGTGTGATAAATTTACCAACGCATATATCGTAGAGCCTGAAGACAAAATTCAAATTTAGAAAGACTGCAGAAGAAGCTGATACCTACTTTTACCACTTCCAGGAGGACCATAGAGAAGATAACCCCTTCGGTGAGGAATTCCTCGTTCAGTATACCAAGATTCTGTCTCCATAAATTCCTTTGCATCTTGCCGGAGAGAATCCAAAACTCCTTCTTGTAAAATGACGGAGTTGAACGGTCTGCGAAGCTGGCGCTTGACACTTCCCCATGTAGTATGATGGAGATGTAACTGTTGAATACAGTTGAAAGGCTTTCAGTTAGCAACTACACCGAAACATACAATATTACCATGTCATTGTCCGCCAAATGAATGATGACATCTGGCCTTGTGACTTCGACGTAGCGCTGGCGAGCTTCCTCTATTATAGCAGAAAGAACAGACATGTCCAAGGTGTAGACGCTGAAGAAAAGCGGGAAGAGTGGCTTGGAATCATTTCTACACTGATACGGAGAGGTCTACACACGATATGAAGATGGACTCAAAGCCAGAAGATTGTGGATGTGGAAGAATGAATGAGATTTCATTCTGTGGTTTAGAGCGCATGATTTCAAGCCAGTAGCCTCTCCATCGAAAGAGCTGAGGTTGGGAATATGTGGGAACATATTCGACACTCTCGGATTTGACAATCGAACTTTCACCGGTTACTGGAGAGCTAATACCCCACTTACGAGTAGAGCTCTTTGCGCTGACTTGAAAGTCGTAAGCGCGTCGCCAAACTTCCTGATCGTTCTGTAAAGGCATGTATCTCATTTCTCAAATGATACATCGATTGAGATGAGCGACACACCAAGAAATGCAATATCCACTCATACGCAGGGTCTCCCTGGTTAAACTGCGCAGTAATTGAGTACCCTGTAGATAAAAGACAGAATTGTATCACGATAATGGTGACCGCAAGATATACTAAGACTCACGTATCCGAAATCGTACAAAGAGCCATTGGCACAATCTTCTGCCTGAATGTAGTGAAATCAGCGAATATTCAGTTCCGCTACATAATGTTTGGTGGACCTACTTGCTTCGACTATTAAGCCAATAACCATCAGTTTGGCACTGTCAACGATGTAGGCCTTTGACAAAAAAGACAAAAGAGATGCGATGCCGTTAGAGAGCTGACTCCTGAGGTTGAGCCACAACGTCGACATATGTTTGTTCAGATCCTCAGAAACGGAAACGCGAGGAATCATTGTGGTGCTGGGAAACGGAGTCGTATATAACCTATCTGATTTTACGGCACAGAACCTCACAGAACCCGTACGAAAATGAGTCAAAACTGTGGAGAAGCGTCTAAGTGATCATTCTGTATCGGATTCGCAAGATGTCGATGAAACGTGTTAGCAAAGAGTGACTGAAGAGTCGATTTGGATGAGCGTCAATTGGTAAGTCGTTCTATTCCGCTGATAAGCAAGAGGCGAGTGAGATTCAGAACGCTTTTCCCGGCTTATCTGATCTGAAAGTGTTCCACAATTTCTGCCCGTAATACCTCCCTTCATCCTTCCATGCCACCTTGAAGCTTGAAAGTCGATAGCATCACATCCGATTGAAGAGAAAGTAAACTTGACCGCGCAGCAAAAGGTCAAAAAAGGGCCAAAATCGTCTGGGCTTCACAGGTACAAGGAGCATACAGTGTATAACCAGAAAAAGACTTGCTCGACCTTGCCCCTCCTTGCCCGCTTGCCCATTGACACACAGACACACCATACAGAAGGTCTTAGCTCTCCGCGGGCCCTCGGTATTTCGGTGTTCGTCTGGCCTAGTCTCAACGATTCAAAACGCACAAAATATCAATCATAATGGCCGGCTTTCAAAAATGCAACCGCAGGCTCGTTATCTATTTCTCTGATTGTTTTGATAACCAGTTGCCTCCACCCCTCGTCTCTACTCCTGGGCTTTCTATTTTGCCATTCATTGCATGTTTCTTCACCCATGCCGAAAGTTCGCTACAGCCTTCTCTGCTTGGTTATACCTCAACAGATCACACTCCTGACGCTCATCCATGAGTGAATATGCAATGTGAAGGGTTTTAAGGGTTCGTGATCGCCTATAATTGTCGACTTCACGATTATGATTATGATCTTCCGTGCTCTTCTGTGCGCAAGTTCCCATTGGATGTACATACCAGGATTTATTGACTTGGGAATTCAACTGTCTTGGCTCATCTTGGCACTCATGTAGTGACCCGGAGACTTTCATACCGGAACGTCAGTAATATATTGATTTACTTTGACCTTCTCATTGTTTTGAATTTGTGTGCCAAGTGTTCTAGATTCTACAGCTTCCTGTATAGAGCACTCATACAGCTGTATAGCTACTGAAGCTGTGCAAGCGCGTTCGGTTCCTGGTTTCTCAACGCATTTAAGCGGATACAACCGATCTAGGTATCGCGTCGCTGCAGTATCTCTGCAACGGTCAATTTTCTCTTCAACGGTCAACTTTCTCCTCGTTGAAAAAAGTGCACATGTTTGTTGTTTTCAATGGATCCTGACAGGGTCAAGGCGTACTTAAATAGTTGGGCAGCGCTGCATTGTGAGTACCCAAGTCTTATTATACGCACTATGAGGTTGCGATCCCCTGGCGTCTCATATGCAATCATAACCTTCGGTTTGGCCGGCTTGGTACACAGCTTATCGACGTTCCAATGGCCCAACCCTCAACTAGCTTATACGGATAAAATGATCTACGAGAGTGGTTTGAACCTTCTAGCACAAGGCTGCCCCTCACGAGATAATACAACGGTCCCTGCGCAGTGGCTTCGCATTGTCAGTTCCTTTATCTATCATTAAGCTCGTACTTAAACCTTGTAGGCATACCATGATATGTCGACGCACGATGTCGATGACGGAACTGGGGGGCTGGACGCATCGATTCAATTTGAGCTTGATCGACCTCAGGTGTTCATCCACTACTCATATAATTTCCTGTTCACCTCTAATGAGCTCGACATTTATAAAGAATATTGGTCAAGGAATGTTTGATTCGTTGAATGATTTCAGAAATTTTCTCTTTGCCGCTCCATTTTTTGGAAGTAAGTGCATTGAAAATCCAACTACTCGAGGGATGTTTTTTCACAGTACTCTCCCACAGTGGCAGATACAATAGCACTAGGAGCCGTATTGGCTGTCGCAGGATGCGGGGGTCCTCTCATCCCTTTTAGCGCTGGTCGTGTCGACGCAACTGAAGCGGGTCCAGCAACGGTTCCAGAGCCCCAACAGGATCTTGCCTCGCATACAGAAGCTTTTCGGCGTCAGGGATTCACACCTACAGAAATGATAGGTCTTGTTGCGTGTGGACACACCCTTGGAGGAGTCAGACAAGTGGATTTCCCCTTGGTTGTGACAGATACTGAAGTTGACGTTCAAACATTCGATACCACCACTAATTTCGATAACATAGTGTAAATAAGGTTCACTTTTTCTCTCCCTCATTTTTGGTCTAAAGAGGTTGCAGCGTATCCGAATACCTTCAAAACACGACTCAGAATATTCTAGTCGTTGGACCGAACGTTACCACCAGGTCGGACTTCCGCATATTCTCGAGTGACGGAAATGTAACAATGCAAAGGTATGTTCACTTGTTGGTTCTATCTTTTGCTTTGTTTACACCCCTAGCTAGCTTCCTTTCCTCCGACATGTTCAACGAAACTTGCGGGAACCTAATTGAGCGGATGATTAACACTGTTCCCAGTGGTGTGACCCTCGCTCAACCTATCTCCGAGCCATTCAACTACGTTGTCTCTGAGCCTTTGTTCTCGTATCGGAATGGTGCAATGTCCATGGCTACTACACTGCGAGTGGGTGTATTATTTCATTTCAATATTTCGACAAGTGCTTACTACGAAATCCCCCCAGATCGTCAATATCAGTGACAATCCTAGTCGAACGGTAAACATGCTCTGGGCCGATAGACAAGGGTCATCCTGCCCGTCCTCCGGATGCACCTCGCCATCGACAGGCTCTCTCCAAGCTTCCCTCGGTATCTTTGGTGGTATACAAGGTCTTACTGCAGACCGATACACGTTCAATGCGACCATCAACGCGACTACCTCAATCTCAAAGTTTTGGTTCGAGATTAACGAAAACGACGGCTCCGACCTCATTGTAGTAGACAATGGTGGCTCTGGCTTTGTGATCGGTCAAGATTCGGTGTTTATAGATAACGGTCGCAGCAAGTTTGTGTTTTTGACTGTCTCTGAAATTAGTTATCAGAGACTGGTTGTGGCGGTATGTGATTTGACTTGATTATTTGTTTTGAAAAAGGCCGAAATTGTTTCACGTTGAACCAGGTCCGTGGTGACACTTCTTCCAGCGTGTCAATTACTACATTCGATCCACATTCGGATGCTTCAACTCCTCCTTACTTGCCCACAATCATGACGACCAATCTACAACTCGACGACAGCAATCCGGTCGAAGGAGGATACACTTTCTTCACTGCAAATGTTACTGGAACTGTGACCTTCTTAAATATTTCTGGGAATGTCGGTGACGTGTCGTATGCCCAAGAGAACTTTGATATGACGGTGGTCGATTTTCCTTTTGCACAAATTTCTCAGTGAACCATGGATTGGTCCAGTGAAGTTTTTTTCCTGTCTTCAATTATTAAATTAGCAGATTAATATTTTGAATTAATTTACAAGCTCGGATTGTGTTTGCCTTAAACATACTTACATCCGAGATTAAGAAAAAGAAGGGACCACGTACGGAACCTGGTTTTATATTGTTAAAGAAATGGATGTAGTAAAAGAAAGCAGCCATATGATTGACACTTTTGTTACTTTGCTGAAAGAGTTACTGCGATAATTTGGTACTATTGGATGACAAGAGACGAGACGAGAGACAGAGTAGCACAGAGGACGGGAAGATGGAGAAAAATAGAAAGAAGACGGGGGAGAGACAGAAAAGGAAAAGGAGAATTTGGTAATTGGGCATGGCAATGGATAGAGAAGGGACATCAGAAAAATAGAGACAGATAAAGAAAGAGAGAATGAATGAAACGAAACGGAATATAGAGCATTAGCAACAAGCAAACACGGTAGAAAAACACGAATCCGATGTCGAACCGTTGAACGAAAGGTAAGTTGAACAAGTGTGAACGAGAGAAAAGAAACAAGTGTATGTTTTTATTTTGATCCGTGAAAATCATGAAATTGTACGTGGCATGCATGCTTTCGTCCTTCGTTTAGTTCATCTTTCAATATCCATCATCCCTTTATCATTTGTTCTCTTTATATTCTCTTCACTGCCCGTCTCACCTCTCGATCACCTCCAAGTGGGAGCGATACATACCACACCACATAACATAAAACCACATAACGACCATAAACAGTCGCATACGAGGAATAAGAGGAGTTTGAAGACGCAGAGAGGAAATGGAGGATCGAATAGCGCAGGGGGAGAGGGTTATTATCAAGCAGCCGCCCACCTCGACAGTCGCGATGGTTCTTCCCCTTCCTTCCTCTTCTTCTATCCCTCCTTCTTCTTCTCATTCTTTGGTTCCTTGTCTCATGAAGCCTGCTTCGTCCTGAACCTCAACAATGGCGCCAATCCGCTCAGTGCGCAAGCTTTTTTGAGGAATTCGTGCTGTTTTGGTTTATGAGTGTAGGAGGGTAGATAAGGAGGGGGTAGGAGGAGGAGGGAAGGATATAAGGACGTGGGCGGTGAAGAAGGTGGATTCAATCAGACTCCAAGATTCCCGAAAATAAACATCTGGAACTCACCTCCAACAACTCCCCTGCTGTCGCCCGACTCGCTACATCCACGCACAAACACACAGCGAGGAAGCTTTTCAATTCCCTTGATAGAGACTCGGGTTTCTTCAGCGTCGGGGTTCCGTTGGTTGCTATGAGGTAGAGGGCCTGTAGGAAAGAAGGCGGATGGGTAAGTCAGAAGACGAAGGAGAAAGACAAAAAAAGAAAGATAAAAGATGGAGTGATGGATAAACGAAGAGAAGACATGAAAGTCATATAATCCTCTATACTCACCTTCAGCGGTTCCTCATCCAAATACGGCGGCTCATTCTCGATCATCTCAATCGCCATGATCCCTAAACTCCATATATCAACTTTTGCGCCGTATTCTTTCTGTTTTACGACTTCGGGTGCCATCCAGTAGGGCGTGCCGACCATTGTTGCACGTTTGCTGTTTGGAGGAAAGGGATGAGGGGAATGAAGGGGGGGAGAGGGAAATCAGTACTATTATAATTAGGAAATTGACTACGACCTCAACCACATCAAATCTCATTCCACTCTCGCTCTTACTGAAACACGAAACTACGAAACTCCAACAACGTCCCAACCAAATCCCCATGATGACCACTTCCACAAAGACATAAAACTCACCTCTTCTGATCCGTCAACTTTGCACAAAAGCCAAAATCTGTGATTTTCACTCGACCGAACGAGTCCAGGAGGACGTTATCAGATTTGATGTCACGGTGGATGATATGTTGGGAATGCAAGTGGGTCAGGCCTTTGCATGTCTGTGGTATAGTATAAAATGGGTGGAGGGCAAGGAAAGGAAGGAAAGGAACAGAAAAGATTTGGTTTAACAGATAAATAAAAGACGAGGGTTTTTTTCAGTAGGATGGTCGAGCACCCCCAAAAAACCAAACTACCCACCTCGAAACAAATACTACTTATCTGATCCTCCTCCAACGTGTTATTCTCGATGATATCCGTCAACGCTCCTCCCTCCATATACTCCATAACGACCCACAGCTCGTTTGATTTAACGAGGTAACTATTGAAAAAGTTATCGAGGAAATCAAAGATTGTTCGTGGGATTGAGGATAAGGCTCACCTGTTCAGGAAATTCACGATATTCGGGTGTTGGCTTTCTTGCATGACGAGGATCTCGTTTACGATGAGTTCTTTCCTCGGTTGATGAGACAAATCCATTTCTTTGATCGCGACTTTCCGGCCAGTGGCGAGTGTTTTGGCGACGTAGACGTGTCCAGAGGCGCTAGAAACAAGAACGGCATGACGTGTTGTTGAGTACCAAATAAAGGAAAGAGATGGGAGAACACTCACCCCTGTCCAACCTTTTTGATCTTCGAATACAACGTCTTCGGGTCTTCATCACTAACCACACTCCTTAGCTTCGCCATAATCTGCACCTCGGTCATCGTGCTTATGCGTTTCTCTTTCTCCACTTTGGCGGTACCATTGGTACCTGTTGTGCCGTTGGCTGAGGAGCCGTTGAGAGCAGCAGCGGCAGCTGCGACGCCTGCTGAGTTGGGGGGTTTGTCTAAGTGAAAAATAGATAGATGGATAATGATGAGAGATAGATCATATAAGAAAACTGTTATACGCATACCTTTTCTCCCCCCATCCTCAATCTGTACCTTCTTCGCAGGCTGCAGTGGTTTAACCGGTGGCGCTGCTCCACCAACATTAGCTGGAGTCGATTTCGCCGATCCCGTACCACCAAGTGGGTTTGCAGGTGGTCTGGCACCAGCTGGAGGTTCGGGTGTACGGTCGCGAGAGCGGGATGTTGAAATCGGTTGGGTGGTGGAAGGATCAGAAAGCTGTTGTTGTTGTTGCTGTTGAGCTTCGAGCGCCTCCGCGCGCTCCCTCTCGATTCTCTCGACTCTCTCCGCTCTCTCCGCGCGTTCTGCACGGTCCCTATCACGACGTTCTTTTTCTCTTCTATCCCTCTCCCGTTCTCTCTCCCTTTCAGTTTCCCGCTCTCGTTCCCTATCTCTTTTATCTTGTTCAGCTCTATCTCTTCTCTCCTGCTGCGCCTTCTCCAACTCCTCCTTCTCTCTAATCTCCGCTGAAGCTAACGAATCACCTCTCGGCGGAGGCGCAGCACTCCCTGGCTCCCGAGGACCGACAGCTTTCTGCCTTGCACGTAGATCGGCAGAGGACGGGGTGTGTGCATGACCTGAAGTAGCAGTACCACTAGCCCCGAGACCAGGTGCAGCAGGTGCAGTTCGTTGCCCAGTAAGCAACGGTCTCGGCGGTGCCGGACGAGAAGCTTGTAGAGCACCAGGCGGAGCAACGAGTGGAGTGCGTTGAGGAGATAAGGATGACGTGGCACCGTTGGCTACGATGTCTGCTGCTCTAGCTGCTGCTGATGACAAAGGCGTGGTAGGAGTGTTTGTAGACGCCCCACCAAGACCTGTCCCAGCATTGAATCTCGCTGGAGAAGCCAGACCCAACGAAGACGATGATGCAGCAGCGTTAGCGTTAGCAGTGCTCAATCCAGCCAAAGAAACTCCTACACCCATCCCCATCTCTTCCATCTCCCTTTTCTTCAACCCATCTGTGTAGAATTCCAGCACATCAAGCACCGCCTGAGGGTCTTTCGCATAATCTTCCCTTGTAATCGCACTCTTCGTCAACAATTTACTCCATTGTTCTGGCATACCGGTGAACGCTCCAGAGATCGGGTCAAACCCGACATGGACCTTGTGTACAAAGTTTGTTGGTTGGGAAAACGAGGAGAGTGGAGTGCGGGAGTAGATTTCGTCTTGCCAGGAATACAATTCCTCGTCGTTTTTGAGGGAAAGGAAAAACCTCTTATTCGGCGCCGCTTCCAATAAAAGACAATACGGTTTGAGATCTGTTCTCTCGATGTTGGATACATCCTTGAGCGGGATAGTGGTTTGTGGAGTATAAGATGATTCGGATTTATGGAATGTGAGGGTCTGTTCTTTAAGTACAAGCCATTTAACTTTCCAGATCCAACTAGCGAACGTTCCGTCTTCTTTTACAGAGGCGTAGCCACTTCGAATTATCGAGGCATCGTCTGTAGCGGAGGTGCCTGTGCGGCGCAGGTTGGAGGAGCTGTTGTAGCTTGAGAGACTTTGTAGACCTGGTGAAGACATTCCTGATCCCGACCCATAACCACCACCACCCCCACCGCCTAACCCATTCGACGAGCCTGTTGCCGAAGAATCCACAGAATTCATCCTGCTGGGTGTACTGCCCTGAGCACTCGGGACTCCTCCGATGCCCGAATAATTGGAATTATACGCATTATACGCAGAGCTGGATGGAGCAGGCGTTGATGGGGAGTACGATAGAGCGCTGTTGTATCCTGACGAAGAAAGTGCCGCCGAAGTGGATGAGGAAGATGTGTTAGGCGTGTACATGGCGTTGTTGTCGTTGGGTTTAGGTGCAGGTCGTGAAGGTGTTAATGCCGTTTGTGTCAGATACGACATTCAACTTGTCGCTTGTTGTTGTATTATTACAAACAAACGTTTATCCGATCCTGGAATGATGGTAGAGTCCTCGGCGTCGTCGCTTACGACTGCCAATCACTAGGCGTGCAACGATGCAACGGTCTGAACGGTCCTGAGTTCGTAGCCTCTAACAGCGTCAAAGAGAACACTGAAGATGTGATTGATGAGCTTTGTTTATGCTTGTCTAGTGTTTGTGATAAAACCCTTTCGTAACCACCACGACCGTCAAAACAACAAAAAAAAGAGTAAAACAATCAATCAGCTTCAATCAGCAGGTAAAATCAGCTGGATGAGACCAAGGGAAGAAACCCTTGATTCCTGATTTACGATTGCTGAAGCGGCGAAGACTCAAGCGTAGGATTTCAAGTCCCAGGCCCAGATTGCCAGATAGAACAAACGTCGACAAGGAGTAACGATTCAGATCCCTAAGAACAACAGGGTTTGTTGTTTAGAGCGCTAGCGGGGTGAAAGGCCGGGGTCGGCGTTGGGATGACAAACGTATTTAGCCACCGTCCGGTATATGTCAAATTCTTCGGAAAACATTTCCCCCCTTTTCCAATTGCGTCTGGATCGATGTATTCAAGGTGTAATTTCTTCTTAATAAATGGGATTGTGGATCAAGCGGCGCGTACGATGCTCGAGCACAAAGATTTTCGCTCTCTCGCAATTTTCGAGGTGTATCCTTGATTTTACCTCTATTCATACGATATGTATATCTACAGTATAACCAATCCTGATTGAGATGCGACGAACGGCGGTTCTGTAAACGGTTATCCTCGAATAGTCAAGGAATATCTTGCAACTGTTCAAGATGCAAAGGTTGAAGGTGAGTCCAAGAAAGCCCCCCATCCGACTCGCTTATTGCCAAGCACCCTTCGCCATGCCTTCACTGGCTCCAATCATAAATATTCCCTTCACATTTCTTATCCGAAGTCTTGCTAATCCATGCCGCCCCATGACATCTTGGTTTGCAAGGACCAAGGGACTCCTCGCGACGATCATGGATCTCGTATGCCACTCCCGAATCAGGTATAGAAGAAAATGGGTATCGGAGCTTTGAGTTGTCGTCCGGGAATATGAGCGTCCGGGTGTGTTTCTTTTCACCAAAATACAGCATACCCTTTTCGCCGTAGGGTGAGTTCCACAATAAATGACTTCGGATGATGCTCTTTGCCTGTTCTTGGATTTTGGCAGCAGCGGTAGTGGTGGTGGTGGTGGAAGTCGCATTGCCATGATACTGGATAAACTCCTCCTGCGCAAACTTCCTTATACCCTCTGGAACTTTGGTATCCTCCATAATCTCTTCTTGGGTTAGAAATCTTACCTCCAACCTGCTCATCAGTGAACTTTTGCGTTTGTGGATAGAAGGTTCTGTCTGCCACTGTCGGAGGGATTGTTTCTCGGAATTCCCATCTCGAACTGCCACTGAAGGAATGGGAGTAGGTGAAAATTTCGGTGCTGCGTTCTCAGCATGTACGAGTTCATCTATGCGGGGAGTATCGAGCTACATATCAAAGAGTAATAAGGAAACATGAGATTTTAATGAAAAAACTCGACCTGGTCCGCATCCGTCACTCACCGCAAGAGGCATCGCACACGTCGATGTCGCAGAAAACAGGCTCAAAACAAACATGCATATCATGGCCGGAAGAGGAAGACGCATGATGATTTTCATACTTCGTTTAAGATTATACGTTTGTGTAACTTGGTATCGTCCGGGAGAGCTCAGTTAGAACTATGTAAACTCGCGGTGGTACTGCCGAAAGGCAGGGGTCGCAGAATGGAAAAACTGTGAATAGGCAATAAGTGTAATCGGTTTTCTGACCAGCAGAAAACTACTCGATGTTGACTAAGTACCACGGGACGGGGGCGAATGGTGCTGCAATTAGGCGATCATGCGATGCTGCAGATGCTGATGCAAATTTATAGGCTGTGCTTCGGGATCCGCCCGGAGCCGCCTCCCTATTAGTATGTAAGTACAAGGGCGTACATACATGTTTTGAATCTCAGTTCACTGACCTCAAGTAGACGAAGTCGAATTAAGAGAAGGCCGGCTTTGAGAAGTTCACACACCAGGATCAGCACACCTTCTGCATGCCTTCACACTATCATTACTCAAAACGCATTCTGCGCCTTTGCGTATCCCATTCTATCCCATTGCTATGGGATGTTATGTCACTGGGTGTCTTTCTGAACGCGTTTTGAGAGCAAAGGTAAGCGGCCCGATAGCCCTACACGAACCCAAGCCCAGGAGTTACTCGAAACCTCTAACCACTATGTATATATTAAATACCATTAAGTATCGTACCCCCCATGAAAAACACCAAAATTCTTTGTCACTGAGAAATTGACACGAAAGGAAAATCAACCACTGTCATGTCAAAGTTCTCTTGAGTATATGACACGCCACCGATATTCCCAGAGATATTCAAAAAGGTCACAGTGCTACTAACATTCGCAGTAAAGAAAGTGAATTCTCCTTCGGCCGGATTGCTGTCGTCGAGTTGTAAATTCGTTGTAATGATTGTGGGCAAGTAAGGAGGAGTTGAAGTATTTGTGTGTGGATCAAACGTAGTAATCGACACGCTGGAAGAAGCGTCACCGCGGACCTGGTTTAACGAGAAATAATGAGGATTCCACTGACAGTCTTGTACAAAGATGCAAAGATGGATCACATACCGCCATAACAACTTTCTGATAATTGATTAAGGAGCTAGAGAAAATCACAAACTCGCTGCGACTGTTATCTATAAACACCGAATCTTGTCCAATGGCAAAACTAGAGCCACCGTTGTCCACTATAACGGGGTCGGAGCCATCGTTTTCGTTGATCTCGAACCAAAACTTTGAGATTGAGGTAGTCGCGTTGATAGTTGCGTTGAACGCGTATCGGTCTGCGGTAAGACCTTGTATATCACCGATGAGACCGAGGAAAACTTGAACAAAGTGTGTGGATGGCGAGGTACATCCAGTGGACGAGCAGGATGACCCTTGTCTATCGGCCCAGAGCATGGTTACCGTTCGACTAGGGTTGTCACTAGGATTAACAATCTGAATAAATCTTCAATGTAAGCACAGCGTCAAAATTGAAATGAAATAGTACACCCACTCGCAGTGTAGTAGCCATGGACATTGTACCATTCCGGTATGAAAACAAGGGCTCAGAGACAACGTAGTCGAATGGCTCGGAGATAGGTTGAGCGAGGGTCACACCACTGGGAACAGTGTTAATCATTCGCTCAATTAGGTTCCCGCAAGTTTCGTTGAACGTGTCGGAGGAAAGGAAGCTATGTAACTATGGGTGTAAGCAAAGCAAAAGATAGAACCGACAACTGAGCATGCCTTTGCATTGTTACATTTCCGTCACTCGAAAATATGCGGAAGTCCGACCTGGTGGTAACGTTCGGTCCAACGACAAGGATATTCTGAGTGGTGTTTTGGAGGTATTCAGATACACTGTAGCTCTTCAGATGCTAAAACCGCAAGAGGGAGCGAGTCTCGCTTACACTGCGTTATCGAAATTAGTAGTAGTGTCGAATGTTTGGAGGAAGTCTTCAGTGTTTGTCACAACCAAGGGGAAATCCACTTGTCTAACTCCTCCAAGGGTATGTCCGCACGCGACAAGACTTATCATTTCTGTGGGAGTAAATCCCTGACGTCGGAAGGCTTCCGTGTGCGAGGCCAGATCCTGTTGAGGTTCTGGAACGGTTTCTGGTCCGGCCTCAGTTGCGTCGACACGACCAGCGCTGAAAGGGATAACAGGACCCCCGCATCCTGCTAGAGCAAATATGGCTCCTAGTGCTATTGTATCTGCCGCTGTGAGAGATTTGAGCAACATTCCTCGAGTACGTGGATTCTCGAACTACTTACTTCCCAAAAATGGAGCACCAGCGACAAAATCTCTGAAATCATTTAATGAGTCAAACATTCCTTGTCCGATATTCTGAAAAAATGCCAGGCTCATTAAAAATCAACAAATAATTGTACAGTCAATGAATACGAATACCTGAGGTCGATCGAGCTCAAATTGAATCGAAGCGTCCAACCCCCCCGTCCCGTCATCGACATCGTGCGTCGACATATCATGGTATGCCTACAGGGTTTCGGTACGAGCCTTGAGGCAAATAAAGAAACTTACGATGCGAAGCCACTGTGCAGGGACTGTTGAATTGTTTCGCGGGGGGCAGCCTTGTGCTAGAAGACCCAAAGTACTCTCATACAGCATTTTATCTGCATAAGCCAACTGAGGGTTGGGCCATTGGAAAGTCGATAAGCCGTGTGCCAAGCCGGTCAAATCAGAAGTTATGATCACATATAAGAGGCCGAGGGTTTGCAACATGTGTAAAAGAACTTGGGTATCGATATTGCGGATCTAGCTCTCTGGCCAACTATTTAAGCATATCTTGGTAATTTATTCCCTGAACCTATTGAAAACGACAGTATGTATTTTTTTCAACAAGGAGTAAGTTGGCCGTTGACCATTGCAAAGAAACCCCAGCAATACAATACCCAGATTGTTTGAATAAGCTTGAATACATTCAGCCTGAGTTCTGCGACCATCAAATTTCAAAACATATGTTCCCTTATGTTGGCTAGTTACTAGTAGACGAATGCACCGGGAATGCACTTGGGAGAGAAGACCGGAGGAATTTGGGTGGGAATTTTCGCGCTGACATCAAAACCGAATTTCAAATTTTGGACGTATTTGAAGTTGAACCAGCACTGAACGTGAACAGCTCTACCGCAATAAGTCGTTTCGCTTTAGTCTCGCGGGCCAGAATTCACGATGAGTGAAGAAAATTTCGTTCACTCATGGGAAGTCTGGATCTGACGAGGGAGGCCCACTGAGGGTAGCCTCGGAGTTTCAAATTGATCTAGGCGAGCGTTGGCCGAAGGTTGGCCGCTTACTGAGCTTAGCTTCCTTCCCACCGCCACTGCATCGATATCAGCTTGTGCTACAATGGCTCCTGAATGCATGAATAAAGTCTTTCCAGAGCCTGTGGGAGATGCCATAAAGACATCTTTCCCTTGATTCATCTCTAAGCCATACTTCAATTGTAATGAATGCAATTCAGAGAGGGAGGAGGCCGATTTGAGCACAGACTCAAACCATTCAGGAGTATTGATTGCATGTTTGTTGGTAGAATCTGGATTATTAAAAGGAGCAGAAGATGATTGCATATTACAAAGAGGATACGATATAAGAAAGCTGATAATTCAGGTTCTCATATGAAAGGTGTAGTGTATTGGGGAAGAGCTTGGTTAGAAAATTTGAACATGGCGCGCAACGCGCCTGCCAAGGTCAGCATATTTGACTCAGCTGACAATGGTTGGCTCATTGCGGCTTGATCTTATTACAAACTCCGAGGCTACTCTCAGTGGACCCCTCTTGTCTGTTTCAGACTAGTTTCGCTTGTCTCGGACCTTTGATATCTCAAGAGGACAGGACTCAAATTGGACCCTAATGGCTGAGAGAAGAAATAGCTGGTGTCAATGGAGGGTCATAACATTGTGGAGTCATACTGAGTTGGAGAAAGCTTGAATATAGCGTAGGTGACAAACAACAAACGACAATCAATGTCAATGAATGCTTATGCATTACAACAAGTGTTCGACTTGGCATAGTACCAGTTCACACCAGGATTGGCACGTCCTCCAGGCTCCGTGTTCCTTCATCTTAATCACTCAAAATACATTCTGCACCTCCACATATCCATTCATCCTATGTTGTCCACAACCCCATCCCAATCAGCACACTCAGAATAAAACATCCTTGAGATGAACTGTACCAGACATCCAACTGCTATTTTGTGCGCAACACCATTCTTTATCTTTTTACCATTTATTTACCTCAACACTCCATTGCTACCTTTAAGGTCACCTCAATTCGGACCATTGACATATGCTATGCTGGTGCACAAGGTGGACAGAATTTGGTTACAGTTTTCATGGAAGAATGGGTTTCTTGTGATGGTCAGACATCCAGGGTACATGTATCCTAATGTGTTTTTGAATCTCTAGTGGAGGCGTATGGACATCGTAAGTCTATCCTGTCAAATTTTCAACCATGGAACTCTCACAAACATTGAATCCCACTGCCCCATTGACACAGACAACAGTGGAGACACAAACACCTTTCTCTCCAGGTCGTTTGCCATAGGCACTATCATTTGCTCTCTTCTAACTGCATAACTTGATTATAGTATCTGACAAATCTAAAACTTACCACTCACTGAACAAATTGAGGTAGAGTGAAATTCCTGGTTTCTATGTTCACAGCTAACTAGCTTATGCTCATTGTTTGTTTATTTGTTGCTTATGTAGGCTAAAGATAGGGTGCAACTGAAGTGAAATAATTCAGTTCTGAATACTATTAACAGTAAAACACTAGATCTTCTAGAGTATCAAATGGAAATTTCAAATCACAACTCACAGAATCAAATTTGGCCTCGAATACAGCTATTGAGTTTGGTAGCTAGAATACCATTCAATCTTCAACCTGTTGAACGCGGCTATGCTGTTCACATGCCACTAATATGATCATGTGTTATGATATGTCATATCTAGTCATATCTAGTCATTTACTATATGCGGATTCCTCTGTACTTCCTTATGTAATACTGTCATACAGTTATGTATATAAACAGGCCATATCCTGTACTGGAATCCAACTCGCTTCTCTCTTACTTTTATTGCCTCACTGAGACACTAAGCTCTACTACCAGGTATGGTGCTGGAGAGTGTTCCTACTACGCACTCCTTGCCTGCTCAACAGGTTATAGGCCCCGGTAACGAGCTTGCCTCGTTTTTGTGTGAAAGAGAAAGGAAGGAATCTAATGGGCACTCCAACCAACCAATCTAATACACAATATGCGAGTTCACTGCTATCAAATTTATTTAATAGCAAGGGGTAGCGTTGGCAAAGGTTCCGCAAAGCTTTGAGAGCTAAGTACGAAGCTTTGATTAATCAATTTGAATCGTTCTAAGGATTCGATATATTCCTTTGATCAAGGTAGATTCAGCACGATTTGTGCTTTGGTTTGTATTGATTTGGGTATATCAAGAATTGGGGGTTTGAATCAAAGTAAATTAAAACCGAAACACACAGACCCCTACAGAGGGCTAGGACTATGTGCTGGCACAACCACACAGCGTGATTTGCCCTTAAGACCAACGACTGATCCTAAGTTCGAAGAATACCCAACAACTGGATATACTTCTCGCAGTCACAAGGAGCAGAACACGACGTTCCTATACTCACAAGTGCCGGGCCCGAATGGCTGCTAGCGAAGAGGTTTCAGTCTGGCGGGAGTGTGTCTTTCCTTTTTACGGATTAGCACTGCAACGTCGTCCCAAAATCACTTGTATTCCAGATACATCGGATCGCTATTTATACATACAGAATATAGAGTCGCATAGTACAATTAATTTAATACAATAAACGTTCGGAACCGCAAGGAAACTTCTACACTCAATCAGATACCATTTAATTTGAATCTACATGTCCTTATTTGGTCCATATTGGTTCCAAGATTCTAGTATACCTCCAAACATAGGTAGGTACTTCAATATTCATTTAATTTAATTGTTTTTGGAGGATGACTCGAATGGTGTTCAACTGTCATTGCTGTTCAACACTTACTTTGATCGTTTGTCACCTCGTCCGGAGGCAAATCAGCTCTCCTCGATTCTAATCCTATCAATCTGATTCATCTGGATTAAACTAATTGCTTCTCTCTTTCAATAGACACCCATTGTGCCTATACTCAATCAAGGGAGTTACACATAGTATTCATTTAATTGCATTCTTCAATATTTTCTACGTCAGGACTCTTTGACATTCATTTGATATGTCTTCGGAGCCTCGCAGTACTTCGATCGTTCTTCTAGTCATTTTCCTTAACCATGCAACTTGATTGGTCTATTAGACTAAATCGCAGTCTTTTAGATTAATGCATGATCTTGTTCTAGAAGGAGTATTTGATCATTCCTGAGTTCTAGAAAGTCATTTCGAGTCAATCCTCGGTTCATGGTCACTTGAGTAAGTTCTTCCAAACTCCTGCCAGTGTAAGGTCCAATAAGAATACCCTTGGTATGTCATACTTGAATGGTCATCCTTCGGATGTAGTCCGAGTCTGGTATAATCCTGCTTGACAAACAGGTAGACTGCTATCCGTAGGTAGTATCGGGGATGGGTAAACTGACCAACTTGTGGTAGTATGGGTATATGGTCCCTTCAACTTATTAGACTGATTCAGTATTGACTTTGACTGTCAATCTGGGTCTCAATTACAGTCCTCTCGATACAAATCTATACGTGAAAATGTCACAATTCACAATATAGACGTCTAGCCAAAATTTAGGCGTGTCACCGGATGAATGCTTTGCTGAGCTCTAAGCTCGCAGCGCTCTCTGGTCTACTGTTGTCATTGACGCATCTATTTGATTGCTGTCTCTGACACAGACCTTTACCTGGAACGTCACCTCTGGTGCTGAAGTCAATATTGCACTTAACAGTGCTGATTATGACATCGCCCAAGAGTGCTTGACACTGTAGATGACAGCTTGCTAGACATATGTCACAGCTTGTCACTACTGGCAATGACATTCATGCCATTTTGTTTCCATCTGTTGTCTTGAGCATTTATGAATTGCATGCTGACATTTTCTGTTGATTTTATCCAGATCGCAATGTCTTCTGCACTCTTTACCGCTGTTACCACCACCCTCAAAGGTGATAACTACGACACCTGGGCCTCCGAAATGGAAGCCTTCCTTCAGGCTACAGGGCTTGAATCAGCAATTACTACTGACCAACCCAGTGAACCATCTCCACTTGTTGTGGCAAATGCCGCCAGTGTTGAAGCCTGGAAGAACTATGAGGTTGCTTTCAAAGCCTGGAAAGAGATTGACACCAAGGCTATTGGCAATATTCGCCTCCGTATCTCTCCCTCCATCCGCATCCTTTCCAAGGATAACAGTGACACAGCTAAGAAGCTTTGGAAATATCTAGCCAAGACTTACAATGTCAAGAGTCTGGGTGCAGTCTTTAATGACTTTGCTGCCGCCATGGCTATCAAAATTCCATACAAGCAAAATCTGCTGTCCTCTATGATGGAGATTGGCATGCACTTCACGCGTATGGAGGAAGCTGATATTGGTCTTGCTGACCACCTCGAAGCTCTGATTCTTCTATCTAAGCTTCCATCACGTTACTCTGTTGTTGTCCAAACCATGTCTCAGCTTGAGACTGCAGAGCTCAAGAAATTGACCTTTGCTAAAGTTCATATCGCAGTTATGAACGCTTTCAGTGGAGACACCATTGGCAACTCCCAACCGCAGAACGCGAACAAGTTTTCGAATGTTCATCGCAAGGGAAACGATCCCAAGTTCTCCCAACAGCAGCATGGTAACAATAGTCACCAGCAGCAGAAGGGACAAAATGGGAACAATGACAACAAGAAGAAGCGTAAGCGTGGCAGTGGAAAGAACAAGAAGGCTAAGAAAAATGCAAACGCTGCCCAAGCTGATGCAGACTCTATGATCTTCAGTCCGATTGGCAGTACTGTTGACTTTGGTCCGGTACATACTGATCTTACTCCTTCTGTTCAAAATGTGCGCAAGCACTCCATCCATCCTCCTTACAATCCTCCTCCTAATGCTACATCCCTTCGTCTTCATAAGAAGACAAGGATGGCCATTCAACGTGCTCGTGATATTGGCGTCCGTGCGACTGCCGAAGTCATTCGCACCCTTGAACCGACTGGGCATATTTCGGAGTTGGACAGTGATGATGAGCAAGGTTCTTCTGATCCTCCAACGAAGCGCACCCGTGTGTTGCCTTCTGAGGATGATGTTGAGGATGGCAACAAGGCTCCTACGCCGCCTCCTCCATCTCCTCCTATGGACTTTGAGGTCCCAGGAACTGCCTCTTTCGACCCTGATGAGTTGATGAACTTTGACTTGGATCGTGAGATTTTGGCAATCACTGGATTCATGGACACCATGGGGTCAGTATCCTCCTCTGATCTTGATCATATGAAATGTACTAACGCACCTTCATCGGTTGCAGTGATGAAGACATGCAAGTCGGCCTTTGAGCCTGATCTCTTGTCCCGCTTGTATAATTATCGTATCAATGTCAAGTATATATCCAATGAACAATTTTGTGTACATGATGT